CCAAGCCTAGTGCATACACACTGACCCACTCTGTTGTCACCTCCCTGGTCAGAGTTCTGGCCGCTGGAAGTTTTTCAATAAAGTACTCCCTGTTATTTTCCGGGGCCACAAAACTGTGCGTTTTTACGTGAAAAAATGATTTGCGTTTCAAAGCTTGATTAATTTACCACACAAAAAACACGCCGGTCAAAATTCATACCTCAGTTTTAATCGGCACTATTTTCTATCCATTTCTATCAATCCGCGCGGCTGTCAACGTCAACAGTGCGCACGTTCCGATCTGCTGTAGTGTTTACACAATCGATTGACAACGACGTAAAAAGTATTAAATTAACAATTTAAAGTGCGAACTTGTAAATTCCCAGGCTGTGAACACAAGGATGTGCCGGGATCAAAGTTCAGATTCCATCGTTTTCCTGTTTCGAATATAACTAGAGACAGCTTACCGAGCATAATCTCCATCTGCTGTTAGTCGATCTCACCAGCAGGGGGTGCAAGCGCTTGTTGTTGGCTGGTTGCCATCGGCTACTCTGCGGGAGCTAAAATATCCAGAATAAAGGATTTTCGTGTGCGTAGTGCTCACTTCAGCGAAGACGATTACATCCCCAACCGGGAGGAAAAGGAAAATTAAAGAGTTTTGCTGTACCAGTAACACGGGTAAGCTCTATTTACTAACTTTATTATCCCATGTCTAAACTGTACGGTAAACAAGCTGATGTTTAGACTCCATTATAAAACACGTGAAAAGATGTCTAATATAAAAACAGTATAGGGATATTGGTACAATTTGCTGAGAAAACTATTTGATTGAACACACACACAATTGAGGTTTTGTGTTGCAATCAATAACATTGTCGTTGTGGTAAAATTACTTTAATCATCTGAACTGTCTGACATTGTGCTAAAATTGGTTTCATCATCAGAAGTTTCCAAGTTTCGCAGTCAGACATGTTGTCAGCGAGTCGCACTATCAACAGCTGATCGGAACGTGCGCACTGTTGACGTTGACAGCCGCGCGGATTGATAGAAATGGATAGAAAATAGTGCAGATTAAAACTGAGGTATGCATTTTGACCGGCGTGTTTTTTGTGTGGTAAATTAATCAAGCTTTGAAACGCAAATCATTTTTTCACGTAAAAACGCACAGTTTTGTGGCCCCGGAAAATAACCGGGAGTACTTTATTGAAAAACTTCCAGCGGCCAGAACTCTGACCAGGGAGGTGACAACAGAGTGGGTCAGTGTGTATGCACTATAGTGCTGGTAAGGATTGCATACAACTTCATGTCTTAAATGGGCGAACTAACCCTTTAAGAAATGTGAAATCCTCTGTTTGAAGTTAATAAAAATACAATGTTTGCAATCCATTTTACTTCCGGTCCGGAATATTGCCCATTAATGTTAAACTGGATAAAAGAAAATTAATTGAATAAAAAATGGTCACTTTATGAAAGGTGATTGGAGGGAAGAAAAATATTGAAAAATAAAACAGCTTGGAGATGTCAGCCCAAAAAGAAAAGTCGTTTTATATTTTGAGAACCAGGTAATGGTTAAGATATATTTTGTTAAATTTAATAAATTTAATAAATTTAATAAATTCAGGAACATACATTAAGAAAGTAAATTGTCCTAATTTGATTTCATGTTGACATTAAACCCATTTAGATATGACAGACAAAGGTAAGATTTTTTTAATTAGGCCTATAGCTATATTGTTTTGAAAGAAATCTCTAATGCTCACCAAGGCTGCATTAATTTAATAAAAAATATAGTAAAACAGTAATATTGTGAAGTATTATTTAGTTAAAAAAAAAATCTATTTCAGTATATTTTAAAATACAATTTATTCCTGTGATGGCAAAGCTGAATTTTCAGCATCATTACTCAGTAAACCTTTAGAAATAATTGTAATATGTCGATTTGATGATTAAGAAACATTTCGTTTTATCAATGTTGTAATTTGTTGTAATGTTGTTGTAATCTTATTTGAATAGACAGTTCAAAATATTTTTTTGACCAACATGCACCAATGAATCGTCCACGATAAGACAAGTAATGTCCATTAAAATAGTAAATAGTGTTCATTTTCATTTCATGTTGAATTTAAAGTCAAAATTTGGGACACAAACATGAACAAGAACACATTTGTCATGTTAAAACTTCACAAACCGGTCTTTTTAACAAATACAAATGTGCATTCCCCATTTTTGCGAGCAAGATCTAGAATTGCATGTAAATGGTCTGCAGGTGAGTTTAAACAGTTACCGATCCGTGGATGCAAGAACAAAAATGTCATTGTGAGCATTACATAACACCAAGCATAACCATTTCTTTTTTACACGTACTGTATGTCACAGGGTTATTGGGTTAAAATAACATGCATCAAGGAAGCGTTTGTGTGCAGAGCGAGTTAGTGCGGGAGAGAAACATGGAAAGCGAGAGATCAGTGACTTCAAGGTCAGATGAGTGCAGAGAGCCATGTGACATTCGTTTTAGTGTAGCATTGATTTCTCACCCCTCTCTTCCCTTAGGCTAAGAAACAAGAGACCCTATGCCTCTATCTTTCCCTCGCCTATAACACACACACACACACAATAGTTAGTCAAGGTTAGTGTGGAAAAGCCAATTCCTCTCTGAAACAGGGCTTACTGTGTGACTGCAGGCTTGCTATCAAATGTGTGTGTGCGATATTAGGGCTCAAATCTGCTGAACTGCTAAATGCACGGTTTTGGACAAGAAATTTGGGCACAGACACACACTTGTGTAGTGTATATTGGCATGTCGACCTAAAGGTGAAGCTGAGCTTGCCTCTGTCAGCCTGTGCAATAAGAGTGGTGTCCATTTCTGCCTTACGCACACTTCACAAAAGCTTCATTAATCCAAGACCAACAGAGAACGGCCTGTGCGCTTGCTCGCTATCATAAAAGCACGCAACAGACCTTATGTTGCTGTGCGTTCAAAAGCGATACAACAATACAAAATGAGTATGACATGCAAAACATATAGAACGCAAACAATACTTTCGGGGTGTTGGGCTCTAAAGCTTTTTACAAAACAATTGTGTTTGTATTTGTGTTTGCCGGAGGCACTATGAGGGAAAAACAACTCAAAACAAAGCCGATGATAGATTTGAACACTACTAATGGTGTTTGCTTGTAAAAGAGCCGTGCGTTTAACAGAGACGACATAGATGTTGGCAGACGGGGTGACGGCGCACCATCATCACTACTTTCTTCTCTCCTGCAGTTTGGTTGATAAATAATTCAGAGGCGATGCATGTTGTTGATTAAGACCTTTACTAACATGTGCCTTCCGGCTGAGCACAATGTGTTGATTTGGTTCACTGTACAGGTTGTGGACGTACAGTAGCGACTGGTGACACACAAGCAAGCTTTAAACAAGAAAAACACAAGAGACAAACTACTGGAAACCATGGTTAATGTCAAGAACAAAGCACCCAGTGAGTGTTTGTAAAAGAGGAAAGAAAAAAAATTGTGCAATACAGTGGCTTGTGTGTGTGTGCTTTAAAAGGAAAGATAAAAAATGATTAAGTATGCGGTTGTTTCTTGTGGATGCACAATATATGTAAAATAAAAACATAATAAGCCTTGTATGTGTCTGAACTTCCTTTTGAAAACTTCCTTCCTTTCGGTGTGTTGAACACAAAAGAAGATATTTTGAAGAATGTTGGTAACCAAACAGCTGACCGCACCGATTGACATCCATAGGAAAAAAAATACTATGGATGCCAATGGGTGCTGTGCTATCAACTGATTGATTACCAACATTCTTTAAAATATCTTCTTTTGTGTTCAACAGAAGAAAGAAACTCTACCCAACAGCTTGCAAATATGGCCTGGATACTGAGTATACGCCATGCAAATACGCAAGTTCTTTGGTACATGAAAACAAACAAAGCAAGAGAATAAAAATCTCATAATAAATCATGTCTGTATGTCTGTCTGTCTCACACATTGAGGCCTACAGATATTCCCCATGTTCTGTTGTTTTTTAAGGGTGGATGGAGAGACTGTGCAGGAACTGTTGTCATACTGAATGGTTTGGTAAATATTGTCACTGAGATAATAGTCTACACTGCTCATTTTGTGGTGGCAGTTAATGCTTTTGAAAAATAGATACAGATGCTTTAGAAAAATTGGCTTTTTTGGTTTGGTTTGAAAAATTGGTTTGACTGTTAAAAGAGACTGATCCAGGTGGGAGGATCAAATATTTTATCATCAGCCTCTGAAGAACTCGTTAGTCATAGCGGTAACTATGGAAACCACGATTAAGACGCTCCTGAAACGTTGGTCAAACTAAGTGAATCTTGCGCAATTAATTTTTATCGTGTCATGCGAATAATAAACATTGTCGTCAAGACTAGTTAGTTTGTATCTCTCTCTCCGTCTCAAAAAACTTGAAAAACAAGACCGTACAGTAGGCCAACACTTTCTGTTTCCTGACTAAAGTAGCCTACATAATAAAATGACATGTACAGTGTGGAGGAGCAGGAACGGGAAATAGTTGTCAGTATGGTCTTTCTACGGTTTATGTGTTTACAAAACTTTAGGGCAGCGCAAGCGCATTCTGAAACATTGTCGAAAAGTACAGCGGCTGCTGCTGCTTCCGCGTAGAGAACCAAGTGAAGTCGAAAAAAAAAAACTATTTATCAAGTTTATTTTCCTCTCCTGAGCTTGAATGTTTAAGAACACACGATATCAAACATTTATAGGACTTCCTGTCCAAAAAAGCCTAGATAATCTCTCGTTACCAAGTGTTACAATTGTTTCCATTAAATCATAAATTGATTTGTTGGAAATGTATCGTTTGATGCTCGCGGCGACCGAGAGACAACCATCGAAAATGCGACGAAATCTATTGGTTGTTGGTGGACAACGTGGACGTTTCATGTTATACATGTCTGTCATTTCTACGCTCCCGATGGGCGGACAAACGCCTACAAAACGCGCAAAAAGTGAAAAGTTGTTAACAGAAAACTTACCAACTTCAGTGTCTGAGAGGTTTCAATAATTCGCCTCTTATCCTCACTGCTGCTGTGTAAGTTGAGAGCAGAATGAGCAACGCGTTTGAGGAAGTATTTACCCGCTCACTGTGCCGTCTGGGGTTGACAATACTGGAAGAGTGACGTCGAGCAGGTAGAGAGAGTGAGGAGAGAGAAGAGAGAGAGAGATTGTGTGGGAGTGTCTAAATGACTGTAAATAATACAATATTGCCAAAGCTTGGAATACATATAATAATAATAATCACAATGGTAGAAGAAAATATTATACCTTAAATTTAAATAAACAGTGTAACAAATTAAAACATGTGTGAACATTTGATACCACAGTGTTTTAACATAAATACACACACACATTGAGGGTCACTGTCTGTCTATCTATCTATCTATCTATCTATCTATCTATCTATCTATCTATCTATCTATCTATCTATCTATCTATCTATCTATCTATCTATCTATCTATCCATTAATCTGTATATATATATACTATATGTCTGTATGTATATCTGTCTGTCCATTAATCTATATGTGTGTGTGTGTGTGTGTGTGTGTCTGTCTGTCTGTCTGTCTCTGTTCACAAAGTAAATTCGCCAGTATAACTATCTGACTGTTGTGTAATGTCTCAGCTTTGAGTTGTCATAATGTCTTTGACAGTTTTAGATGATATGATGTCATATTTAAATATTGATAGATAGGCCTATGCACAATCATAATTTTCTGTTGAAAAAAAAGTTCATGTATGTTTCTCATTTAACCACCTTTGGACTGGTTTATGAGTTGTTGGTGGTTAACCAGGTGCTTTCCTTTCCTGAAGGCAGGAGACTCCCGATGGAAACCTTAGCTTTGGGACTCCATTCAGGCCTGCCCTTACACCTACACAAGGAAGGAGTATGGACACACACACACGCGCGTGCGGTAGCAGTCACATGATGCTGACTCACAGACTGCCCCACCCCTTCAATCTAGGTCTGTCAGTGGTGTATAAAGCACAGAGTTTCAGTGTTTCTATATTTAGTATAATTTCCAACAAATGACCATTTACCCTAATCTGACACTTGTGAACAACAAATTTACCATGTAAACTGTAATTCAACAGATACCCTTATTATAGAAAAAAAGTTAAGTTCTGAAGAACAGTGAAGACTTATCGCATGGGTTTATGAAAGATGGTTTCACTTCTCTTTTATTTTATAGAACTGCATATTTTTCCTCTCCTCTTCCTTTCTCCATCTCACACATTCTAATATAATTTACCAGTGTTGCCTCACTTCTCTTTCGCAATTACTTTCCTCTTCTTTCTTTTGTTTTAGAGCCTCTATGTTTTAAGTCAAGCCTGTAATGAGTTTTAAATGAGAATGATAGTTACTTTTCTAGCAATCCATTGCTAGGTCTAGTTCTAGCTAAATTATGTCCTCGCTGAAAATGTAGCCTATATCTCCATCAGGCACAGGCACTTGCACTTGGGGGGGGGGGGGTTTGGACCCCTGCCCTTTTTCAAAACTAATCGAAAGGGCCCCTCTCAAACAAATATCAATGATAATATTGTTGTAGATAAAACAAAAATGCATTTGATTATAATTAACAGGACAATGTGTACAAAACTAAAGTAGCCTAAATTCACGTTTATTTTTACGTTTCTGTCAGTCTGAGGTGCCGTTGCCATGACCCGTTGCTATGGGTTGCTAACACTTGCGTGTCTTGCTTCGGACTTGACTGAAGGGGTCAGTCTCCGTTTTCGAGGGTCTAAACTCCGGAGTAGCCTAGTGTGTGTGGACGGCAGGCGTATAGCTAAAGTTATGCGTTTAAAATGAAAATGCACTAGTGTAAACGTAGGTATTCCACAGTCTGCTCGGGAACCGATGCTCTCGAGCCAAATATAAAGAACAGCATTTAATTATAATAGAAATTTGTTTAAGTCTTAACTATCACTTTTTATCAATTTAACACATCCCAAAAATGACTGACCCCAAACTTTTGAACGGTAGTGGATATTGATACAAAATATTTCTATTTTAAATAAATGATGTTCTTTCTTCCCGTGGGCTCACCACCTGCAGGAAGAGCCGTAAGGGGCCGGTGCAGAGAGGATTGGGTGGCAGTCGAAGGCGGGGACCTCGACGACCCGATCCCTGGACACGGAAACTAGCCTTAGGGACGTGGAACATCACCTCGCTGGCGGGGAAGGAGCCTGAGATGGTGCGTGAGGTTGAGAGGTTCCGACTAGAGATAGTCGGGATCACCTCTACGCATGGCTTGGGCTCTGGAACCACACTCCTTGAGAGAGGATGGACTCTTCACCACTCTGGAGTTGCCCATGGTGAGAGGCGACGGGCTGGTGTGGGTTTGCTTATAGCCCCCCAGCTCAGCCGCCATGTGTAGGAGTTTACCCCGGTGAACGAGAGGGTCGTTTCCCTGCGCCTACGGGTCGGGGATAGGTCTCTCACTGTCGTGTGTGCCTACGGGCCAAACGGCAGTGCAGAGTACCCGGCCTTCTTGGGGTCTCTGGGAGGAGTGCTGGAAAGTGCTCCGACTGGGGACTCCGTCGTTCTACTGGGGGACTTCAACGCTCACGTGGGCAGCAACAGTGACACCTAGAGGGGCGTGATTGGGAGGAACGGCCCCCCCGACCTGAACCAGAGCGGTGTTCAGTTATTGGACTTCTGTGCTAGTTACAGTTTGTCCATAACGAACACCATGTTCAAGCATAAGGGTGTCCACCAGTGCACGTGGCACCAGGACGCCCTAGGTCGCAGGTCGATGATCGACTTTGTGGTCGTTTCATCTGACCTGCGGCCGTATGTCTTGGACACTCGGGTGAAGAGAGGGGCGGAGCTGTCAACTGATCACCACCTGGTGGTGAGTTGGATCCGATGGCGGGGGAGGAGGCTGGACAGACTCGGCAGAGAGATCTTCAACTCCCACCTCCGGCGGAGCCACGACCGGATCCCGAGGGAGGCTGGAGATATTGAGTCTGAGTGGACCATGTTCTCCACCTCCATTGTCGAAGCGGCTGCTCGGAGCTGTGGCCGTAAGGTCTCCGGTGCCTGTCGAGGCGGCAATCCCCGAACCCGGTGGTGGACACCGGAAGTAAAGGATGCCGTCAAGCTGAAGAAGGAGTCCTATCGGCCCTGGTTGGCTGGTGGGACTCCTGAGGCAGCTGACAGGTACCGGCAGGCCAAGCGGACTGCAGCCCGGGTGGTTGTGGAGGCAAAAACTCGGGCCTGGGAGGAGTTCGGTGAGGCCATGGAGAAGGACTATCGGCTGGCCTCGAAGAGATTCTGGCAAACTGTCCGGCGCCTCAGGAGAGGGAAACAATGCCCTACCAACGCTGTTTACAGTGGAGGTGGGCGGCTGTTGACCTCAACTGGGGATGTCGTCGGACGGTGGAAGGAATACTTCGAGGATCTCCTCAATCCCGCCGTCACGTCTTCTATTGAGGAAGCAGAGGCTGAGGGCTCAGAGGTGGACTCGTCCATCACCCTAGCTGAGGTCACCGAGGTAGTCAAGAAACTCCTCGGTGGCAAGGCACCGGGGCTGGATGAGATCCGCCCTGAGTACCTCAAGTCTCTGGATGTTGTGGGGCTGTCTTGGCTGACACGCCTCTGCAGCATCGCGTGGCGGTCGGGGACAGTGCCTCTGGGATGGCAAACCGGGGTGGTGGTCCCTCTTTTTAAGAAGGGGGACCGGAGGGTGTGTTCCAACTACAGGGGGATCACACTTCTCAGGCTCCCTTGGAAAGTCTATGCCAGGGTACTGGAGAGGAGAATACGGCCGATAGTGGAACCTCGGATTCAGGTGGAACAGTGCGGTTTTCGTCCAGGCCGTGGAACACTGGACCAGCTCTATACTCTCTACAGGGTGCTGGAGGGTTCATGGGAGTTTGCCCAACCAGTCCACATGTGCTTTGTGGATTTGGAGAAGGCATTCGACTGTGTCCCTCGCGGCGGCCTGTGGAGGGTGCTCCGGGAGTATGGGGTCCGGGGTCCTTTGCTAAGGGCTGTCCGGTCCCTGTATGACCGAAGCAGGAGCTTGGTTCGCATTGCCGGTAGTATGTCAGACTTCTTCCCGGTGCATGTTGGACTCCGGCAGGGCTGCCCTTTGTCGCCGGTTCTGTTCATAGTTTTTATGGACAGAATTTCTAGGCGCAGCCAGGGGCCGGAGGGTATCAGGTTTGGGGACCACGCGATTTCGTCGCTGCTTTTTGCGGATGATGTTGTCGTGTTGGCCCCTTCACACCAGGACCTCCAGCATGCACTGGGACGGTTTGCAGCCGAGTGTGAAGCGGCTGGGATGAAAATCAGCACCTCCAAATCCGAGGCCATGGTCCTCAGTCGGAAAAGGGTGGCTTGCTCACTTCAGGTTGGTGGAGAGATCCTTCCTCAAGTGGAGGAGTTTAAGTATCTTGGGGTTTTGTTCACGAGTGAGGGAAGGATGGAACGGGAGATTGACAGACGGATCGGTGCAGCTTCTGCAGTAATGCGGTCGATGTACCGGTCTGTTGTGGTGAAGAAGGAGCTGAGCCGTAAGGCAAAGCTCTCGATTTACCGGTCAATCTACGTTCCTACTCTCACCTATGGTCATGAGCTTTGGGTCATGACCGAAAGGACAAGATCCCGGATACAGGCGGCCGAAATGAGCTTTCTCCGCAGGGTGGCTGGGTGATCCCTTAGAGATAGGGTGAGAAGCTCGGTCACTCGGGAGGAGCTCAGAGTAGAGCCGCTGCTCCTCCACATCGAGAGGGGTCAGCTGAGGTGGCTCGGGCATCTGTTCCGGATGCCTCCTGGTCGCCTTCCCGGGGAGGTGTTCCGGGCACGTCCCACTGGGAGGAGACCCCGGGGAAGACCTAGGACACGCTGGAGAGACTATGTCTCCCGGCTGGCCTGGGAACGCCTCGGTGTCCCCCCGGAAGAGCTGGAGGAAGTGTCCAGGGAGAGGGAAGTCTGGGCATCTCTGCTCAGACTGCTGCCCCCGCGACCCGGCCCCGGATAAGCGGAAGAAGATGGATGGATGGATGGATGGATGTTCTTTTTGTAACTTTTTAAACTCAGAATCCTTTAAAAAGTATCAAAGGTTATAATTATATTAAAATAGAAAACCATTATTTTAAATTGTAGTAATATTTCTCAATATTGCTGTTTT